GGGGGGGGGTTCTTTTTTTTTTCCACAGAGTTGAATGGAGGTGTTTCCCCCCCCCCCTGTCCCCAGGAGGCCCCTGCAGGGGGCGGTGGCACTTTTGAGCCCCACTTTTCTTCCTTCCTTCCTTCCTTCCTTCCTTCCTCCCTTCTTCCCCCCCCCCCCCCCCGTGCGTTCCGACGAATCAACCCCGACCTCCATCCCCGTCGGAAAGCAGATATCGGAGTTCCACAAGGGGCCGTTGAAGCGGAAGCACGGACTCCTGAGGCGCCTGGTGCGTCTGTCTTACCTCTGGCTGGACGACTACACGGGATTCTGGACGTTCTGCACGAAGCTGAAGATGCTCCTGTGGGACTACCTGGTTCGGAGGCTGGACACGGCTCTACGGGCGTGGATGCCGTCGTCCTGATGCTTGATGGGAGGGCGATTTGTGTGTGTATGTAAGTAGTGAAGAGGATTTAAAGTGGCGTTACAATATCCCTATCGCGGGGTGTCGAACGTAGTTAGTGGCTGACGTCATCATTGTGATCGGTGTGCCCCTGGGAGGTTCGGACACCAATGGTTTGTGTGGACCTTGTCCGCTCACGCGGCAAGGGAGCATTGGTTTCACAAAAGTGTCTTGATCCATAAGGGAGGATAGGTTTATGTATACGGCGCGAGTGAGATGGGAGAAAAGAGTCTGTTGCTTGTAAGAAAGAACGGACAATGGTGAGGGCGGTGCGCGTGAGAGATTGGTGATAGATACCGCCCTTAGTCGATCTTGCTTATTCGTATATGGGGTTATGGCTGAGAGACGAGTGTCGCACCCGTACTGCTGTTTTATTGTGTCCTGTCTGCCAGTCCCATTGGAGGATGCAACCTCAGGATGTGACCTTGTATACAAGAGAGATGGGTGCTGTCAAACATGGACGACGGTTCGCAACATGGCGTACGTGGTGCGCCCGTACAACTTACGGCCGTCACGGGAGACTAGGACGTTCGGGTGTGTGGTTCGCCGGTGCCCCTCGCTCGACACGGATCCTGCGGGCAACGGCACCGCAGGTGTCGATAAACGATGTGCTCTGCTCAATCCACACGACCTTGAACACACCCAACCGGTCTCGGTGTGCCTACCGCAGATAGATGATGTGCGTCAGGGTTACGACACCAGAAGAACCCGATCGGTTACAGGCGTCCTTTTTGTCGTCCAACAAGTGCGAGAGGCAACAGTTATTTTGAGCCTGGTGCTGCCTTGTTGTTTTTCTCCCCTTCTCCCACCTACGGTGGCTGCGGGTGGACGGGGCGACAGAATCCGAGCATTATTCACCAGCAATGTCTCTCCTTGTACAGGGTCAGGGGCATGTGGTGCGGTGGGACAAGACGGTTGCAATCTCGAGAGCTCCTGCTGCTGGTAGTCCTCAAGACGGGTCTCGACGGTGCAGCACTACACCTGGGGTGTGGTGGCGACCCGCTCGTCAGAATGCAGACTTCCAAGAATTTGAGCCTCGTTGCCTTACGAGTCAGGGAACTTGTCCTACGCAGTTGGGATCTCAGAGGTCGGCTACAAACACACGACATCACCTATTATTCGGGATTGGTGATGATGAGCGGAGGTGTCTTTCCACCACAGCCTACCAACGGAAGCAAGACATCCCCCCCCCCCGCCTTTCCCTCTGCTGTGTCATTGCTTGCAGCATGCCTGTCCGTCGTACTCAACCGCCTCTACACCCACGCGTTTCATGATTCTCCCGTTCTGAAGCCTATTTGCTTCAGTTTTCTGTTGCGGAAATTCTCATACCTATATTCGATTTTAACCCCACCAAACGTGACCCCACTCCTTATTTTTCACTTGATTGTAGAGTACGCGATCTCCGGTTTCTTCTCTTAAAGCAAGTTGTTTTTCTTGGGGCGTTGTTTCTCAAGATCCCATGGACAGATTTTCGTGTGGGTTGGAAGAGGTGTCCCTTCTGGCCCCGTCCGCCCCTCCTGCAAGTTTGGTGCAACAGCTCGTCTCTGTTTTTGAGAACGCGTCCGTTGTTGTATGTCATGTTCGTAGATCTCCCCCGTTCGATTGATTCACCGAACAACCAAACCCCAAACCCCCTCTCGTCTTACTTCAGGACCCCCACAGGTCGTCAACAAACAACGACGCACCCCACACGACGCGAAAGAGCCACGTTCAGGTCGACGATGCAGGTGGCCGGTTTGCACCGCAATCGACTGCGTCAAGGATACATACATCTATCTCCTGAGAACCATGCGTGCAGCGTTAGTTTGTGGGGCGTTTTTGCGAGGCAGGGCAGAGCAGATGTTACATGCACCCTCAGGAACGTGCATTGACGACCAGCATCAAAGTTCATGTACACAATTTACTACGGACCGTTCCAACCATTGGCCTCCATTGTACTGCTGTTTCGACGGGATACATACACCCTTTCTCCCTTCTTCCCCTCGCTCCTCGACAAGCTTTTGCTTAGACATGGGTTGTAGTGAAGGGGGGGGTCTTTCTGGCGAGCAGGGCTAGACTCACCCTCAAGGGATGACCGAAACCTTCTTGCTGCTACGCTCTGCCGCGAGGCGTGCGTGTGGTGGTTTAGTTGGGTCGGCACTGATGGGGTCAGGCGGGAAAATGTAGATGCGCGGGCCTTTCTGGCCGTCGGCGTAGGCAGCGATGCCCATCTCATTTTTGTGCGCGGAGGCAGACATCATCAGAAAGGTGGACGGGCACTTCACGGCCCTAGGTTTGCTAGAGGGAGCTGTAGTGCCTCAGTAACCTGGCTTCGCCATCAAAGGAGGAGGGAGCAGGTGGCGACGAGCTGAACTGGGCTGGTTGACCCTTCGGCGCGAGAATTTTTATTTTTTCAGACCAAGAACCTTGAGTGCAACGAGGGAGAAAGCGAGGAACCGACTGGGAAGGACAGCAACGAGAGCATGTACGGACGGAGCAGATCGAGTGGCGTTCTGCTCGGGCTGACTACAGCGGCGCCGGATGGAGCAGCGGCACCGGAGCATGCGGGCGACATCGACCCGTGGGGCACGGAGAAACATTTCTATTCTGTCTGTCTGTGTTGTCATTTTTTTTTCGTTTTTTTTTTCTGACTTTCGGTGTTGGTTTTGTGTGATGACGTCGTCACTGGTTTTGTAGAGAGACCCGTCAGAGATGGCGTGGCTAACCCGGGTGCCTTGGTTTTGTGCCTGATCGTGGAAGACCCCTTCAATGTGGAACGATTCTTAGCTAGTGTCGATATTTTCACTGCAGTGCCTAACACAGACGATCGGGAGAGATTCGGGTGATTGTCAATTACTATCATGGCCTGGTTTGTTGTTCTTTTTCACTGTACGTCCGCAGACACATTCTGACAGCACTTCAGACAGCAGCTTTGTGCCCCGCCAGCTTCTTGTTCCATGCCTACCATGGTGTTTTTGTACAGACAGCACTTCAGACAGCAGTATGCTGTAGTCGGCAATGTCGTTTTGGTACAGAGTGTGACAGGCAGGGGGTTATGCTACTGTAGTCGAACGGTGGGACGGACGTGCAGTTCAGTTTTTTTTAGGCACGCATATGCGGTGCTCCAGGGATTTTAGGTGTACCCCTTCGGGCTCTTGTATACCTTGTTCTTTTACGTGTGTGTGCGTGTTCTTTACATCCTCAGATGGCTCTAGCACTCTCGTGACCACGGGCTGAGAGTCTTTGCTAGATTTTGGCATTTAGCAATTGGCATACGGTTTAATGTGAAGACAACAACAACAACAACAACAACAATACACTTTTTTTCATTTTCATTTTATTTTCATTTATTTTCTCTTCTCCTTACGGTTTCCATTTTTATTTTTTCTCCTTTTTTTTTTCTCTTTGTCCTTTTTTTTCTCTCTTTTTTTCTCTCTTTTTCTGTGCCAGATGGACTTGTCTCTGCTTGCGTTGTGAAGTACCAAGATTGAACGAAGGGAGTGTGCCTCTTTCTCTCCGGCCCATGATAATAGATAGTGACTGCTAATCTCAGTTGATACCCCGCATAGCGTGAAGAGGGAGCGGAGGACTCCAGAATATCTGTCGTTGATTTCTATTGACTTGCGGACCCCTCGGGGCCAGTTTATTTGAATGTACCTTTTTAGGGTAAGTTAACCTGTGACCACGGGAATCGACCGCGTCAAATGTTGGATCAGTACCGACATACGAAGGTACTGGGTAGAGAGAGATCGGAACGGTTTTTAATGTGAAGACAACAACAACAACAACAACAACAACAATACACTATACGCCGCCGATAACAATTACAATTGGTATACACTACGCCGCCGACAACAATTAGTATATACCGGGTGAACACCATAAAAAGGCAGAGCAGATAGCACACACACCATACGCAGAGCAACACCCCCACGTCAAATACGACGCGCCCCACACCACGCTTTTTTCTCTCAGACTGTCAACTACAGCCAGCCGCCATTACTCTGCAACAACGAAATATTTCTCCTTCCAGACTGTCGACCACAAATGTTAATTGGGGCTAGTAACCATGGTTGTCAACAGATGGCAGGCAGGGGAAAAAATAAACCAGTCTGACGTACGCGTATCCATCCGTGGTCCAGGCAAGAACGCAGGAAGAAGGTAATTTTTATGTATGCAGAGAGAGACGGAGAAACGAAAGGAAATTAAGGAATAGTAAAAACACACACAGAAAGACTACCCATTCGAGATATACCCACAGTCGAACGGGATGTGGTGGAAAGCCGAAGATCTGCAGCCCACCCTCTCTGTGTCGGTGTCGAGCCGACTGCTTTCCGTCTGTCTCGCCTGCCGCTGTGTGTGTGTGTGTGTGTTTATTATTAGCATCGACCGCGCTAACCGGCTGACCAATGAAAAGACGTCAGTCTTACAAGTAGTGCGGTTGAAAACACAAAACACTTAGTCTTCTATCTGCCATGAACCGCTGTGTGTGTGAAGAAAAAACACCTCTCGTTGGTGGTGCGGACCTCTCGCTGGGGGCTAGTTCCCGTACGAGAGTTACCGTGGTGGGCGGTTACCACCCAAATATTACCGTGCATTTACCGTCCTGGCCAGTTACCACCAAAATGTTTCAGTGTATTACTACCGTATTCGCTGGTTCCCGTACCAATCGTTACCGAACTGAGAAATCGTTACCGAGAGGAGCCTTGAAATTTTCCCACCGCCGCTTCCGTTTTCAAGCAGTAGTACAACTTCCGCCACGGGAAAAAAAATGGGAAAAAGGCTTCAGTTGAGGCCGGGCTACCCCCGGGCTGTTATATCACAAGTACATACATGCAATCCATCCGTCGACTCCACGAGACAACCAATACTAAAATAAAATGGGTCTGTTTTGTTCAGTCAACGAAACGTAGACTTGGGGCAGACCCGCTCCCGACGGTCTCTGAATGGACAAGCGCACAACACCGACGACATTGATTCGCGAATCCTCCGCACTTCCAACTATTAACTACGTTTCATATTTTATCACATCATCACTAAATCTCTTGTGGAAATGAACCCGCCGCCTTCTACACAGGTAGGTGTTGATGGTGGGACTGCTCGCGAAGAAGGTCGCTACCCGACTCTTTTTCGTCCGTCAGATACACAGGCCAAAGGCCGGCGCCAACACGAGCCGTCCGCTCTAACCTCCGCCGCCGCGGCGCCGGCTGTTTTTTCTTTAAAGCCGTGAATGATCGCGTTCAACACTTCATTAAGCCAACCCCGACAATCCAAACGTGGACAGCTTGGAACGGAAAGTATCGAGGGACCGTCATACTACCAGAATCAATTGCCGACAGAGAACATCCGCAGGAACATCATCGACTACCGGGGGGGCCCGTGACCAAAATAGTCAAGACCAGTTGTCGTCATTTCACACGGCGGTAGTCAGGGCTCATCATGCGCGACAGCACGTGGTTTGCCTGCTTAAAGCATGAATTCGATATCTTCTCACTTGTAGTGAGAGCTATTGGGCCGCTTTGCGTGAAACTCGCTCGGTCGGCTGGACGCGCTCTCTCAACACGCAAAAAAAAAAACACACACACACACATGAAGAAAACCCCTCTTAAAAGGGTACTTACATCCGATCCGTCGCGTGCTCGAATGCAGTTATGGCGCCTGGACGTAAACGTAAACAAACGTGAAAATCTGGAGGCGATACATGAACACTCACGGAAAAAGAAACGACTATTTCGAGGAAGTACAACATACTAACAACACGATCACCGGTGCACAGCTCCGGTCCTTAACCCAACGAGCCTCCTAAAATATAGCAACCGCCTCCGGGCACTCAACGAATCACGCGGGCACCCCAGGGGCAGCTGAATCGATGTCGCTCGGTGCTGCCTGTGAAGGGGGGATGTGCACATCTATCAAAATACTTACACTACCTCTGGTAACGCCCAACATCTACTGCCACACTGCTTCCTCTTGGTGACCATCGCCAGTTCCCGCTGGCTCGCCGGGGTCCTTCGATGCCACCCTCTCACTGCTGTCGCTGCTGCTGCTGCTGCTGCTGCTACTGTTACTGCTGCGGCTGCCCTTGATAAACCTTCAAAGGTCAGGCCGACGGGGGCACCGGTGTCGTCGCCGTCGCCGTTGCCGCCACCCCCGCCTCTGCGGATGGCCAAGGCCCAACGTCCGCGCTCGCCACGCTCGGGGTAGCGCTAAGCGACGACGACGAGGACGACGACGGCACGGGGAGTGACGTTGGCAACGCCTGCGGCACAGCAGCTTGCTGCTGGTGCTGGTGCTGGACTTGTGGCGGCGGCGGCGGTGGCGGCGGTGACTGCACCAAGGCCGCCACCGCAGCCGCACCAGCACCACCGGTACCATTGCTACTTCTTTCACCGGCGCCTTCGCCAACACCAGCCTGGGCGGTGCTGCCCTCCGGAGCCACCACCTCACGTACGGCCTGCCCCTGCCCAGGCGCCGCCGGCGCGGCGGCGCCGCCCACGGTCGTCTCCGTGCCGTTAGCTGCCGGCACCGCCGCCGGGACCGGAGGGACCGTTGGCGTTCCCGTCGGTGGGAGTGGCTGGCCCGCGCTGTTGGGCGCTCGTTCTGGCAAGCCGAGGTGGTTGTCGTTGTCATGCTTGGGGAGCATGTCCCAGGCGGCGGCCGTCTCCTTTGCGTCTTCGCTCGTTCCGCGTTCGTTCGATGAGGAGCAAGGGAGAAGAGCCAAGAAGGAGAAACAAGAGGCACAGCGAGCGAGCGAGAGAGAGAGAGAGAGAGAGAGAGAGAGAGAGAGAGAAACAGGGCGAGAAAGAGAGAGAAAGGGAGAGAGGGGGCAGGGGGGGGCAAAGGGACTTGAGAGATTTTCCTGGTGGGATGGAACTTTAACTTTATCTTTTCTCGAGCAGACGCGAGTACTGAGTAACAGCTGCACACGCCCAACAAAAGCGTGCACACGCGCAACCTTTGTCCAACGCCCACATTCGCGACAAGGGAGGGGAGCGGGCGCCAGCTGAAGTCCTTCCGCAGCAACCAAGCTACCTCGGGCGGCTCGTTCCCGTAGCGTTAGCATCGCCATCCTATCAACGTCCCCACATGCCGCACGCCCTACCGTCATCAACCCCAAACAACCACCGCACAACAACAAACGCCTGGCCAAAACGCGCAAGAGCATGGGCGAGGTGATCCTTAGCTTCCTGCTACACAAACACACGCGTACCGTATGACACACACCCTCCCTCTCCCTCAGTCCACACTCACCCCCGACTGCGTCCGCCGAGCCGATGCTCGGCGCCGGCTCGAGATTGCTGAACTCAGGAGACGGCACCGGCGACAGCAAGGTGTCCGACCCCCTTCCTGGCGCGACGGCCTCCACTGCCCCCGCCGTCACCGTCGCCTTTGCCGCCGCTGCTGCTTTCGCCGGTGGTGCTGGCACCGTCGGCGACGGCGGCGGCACGTCAGCCGGAGGGGGGAAGACCGCGGCGGCTTGCAAGAACGGGAAGGCGGGCGCCATCGCCGTGGTCACCGCCGGCAGCGGTTGCGCTCTAGCAGACCCCTGCTCTTCTTGCTGCTGCTGATGCTGCTGCTGTTGCTGCTGCTGAGGAAGCTGCAAGACAGGCGAAAGAAACGGCCCTCCTCCGGCCAGCCCCCCGACGCCCGGCTGCCCAACGCCGCCGGAAGGGCTCGAGGCGAAGGCAGGAACGGGCGGGGTAGCAGAGCTGGCGAGCGCCTGCATCATTGGCGGCGGCGGCGGCGCCCCCGC